CCCAGCAAACCCTCCTAAACCCCAGCAAACCCTCCTAAACCCCAACAAACCCTCCTAAACCCCAACAAACCCTCCTAAACCCCAGCAAACCCTCCTAAACCCCAGCAAACCCTCCTAAACCCCAGCAAACCCTCCTAAACCCCAGCAAACCCTCCTAAACCCCAGCAAACCCTCCTAAACCCCAGCAAACCCTCCTAAACCCCAGCAAACCCTCCTAAACCCCAGCAAACCCTCCTAAACCCCAGCAAACCCTCCTAAACCCCAACAAACCCTCCTAAACCCCAACAAACCCTCCTAAAGCCCAGTAAACCCCAACAAACCCTCCTAAACCCCAATAAACGCCAATGAACGCCAATAAACGCCAATAAACGCCAAAAACTTCCCTAAACCCTCCTAAACCCCAACAAACCCTCCTAAACCCCAATAAACGCAAATAAACGCCGATAAACCTCCCAAACCCCTCGAAAGGCCGAAAGCCCCCTAAACGGAAACCCGCGCGGGTTTGCGCGCAGCGGAAGACTTCGCGACGCTGGGGTCGGAACTGGCGCACCTCTGGTTCCCCTTCGCCTTCTACCTGCCCTTCGTGAAAGCCACTTTGCAGGTTTTCAAAATTCCAATTGTGGCGGTGGCGCTGATAATTTGCGTGTTCGGCACGGGGCTGATGTTTCTGGACAGCCTCTCGCCGTCGAGGACCAAACTCACGCTGCCTCTCCACCTCCTCGTCGTGCCCCTTTCCTCCCTTCCCTTCCTGCTGCTGCACATCACCTACCCCACCATTGTCCCCGTCGAGGAGACGTGGGTTTGCTGCTGCTGCTGCTGCTGCTGCTGCTGCTGGTTTGGTTGTGGCGCTGCTGCTGGTTGTGGCGCTGCTGCTGCTCGCGTTTTCTTGTTGCTCCGCTTTCTCTTCCTTTCCTGCGGCTTCATATTACTTGTCCCACGATTGTGCCGGTCGGGGAGACGTGAGCCTGCTGCTGCTGCTGCTGCTGGTAGCTTCGTGCTGCTGCTGCTGCTGGTAGTTTCGTGCTGCTGCTGCTGATGGTTGCGGTGCTGCTGCTGGTGCTAGTTTGGTGCTGCTGCTGCTGATAGTTGCTTTGCTGGTGCTGCTGCTGCTGTTGGCATCTTATTTCACGTCTTACTTTTTGCTGCTTCATATTATTTGTTCTAGAATTGTTGCAGTCGAAAAAACGGGAGATTCTTGCTGCTGCTAGTTGTGCTGCTGCTGCTGCTGCTAGTGGTAGTTGTGCTGCTGGTGATGGTAGTTAGAGTTGGGATGATGCTGGTGATGATTCTCATGTTTATTATTATCCCGCTGCTGCTGCTCATTATCTTGCAGCAGCAGCAGCAGCAGCTGCTGCTGCTGCTGCTGCTTGTTATCCTGCTGCTGCTGCTACTGCTGCAACTCTATGGAAGGAAGCAAAATGGTGCAGCGAAGCAAAATGGCGAAAAGAGTCGAAAAATGGTCGAAAAAAGCGGAAAAAGAAGTTTAAACGAAGGAGAAGGAAACAAAAACGAAAAAGGATGAATAAAATGGAATTAAAACGATTTAAAACCGTTAAAAATCATCAAAAAAGGATCAAAAATGATTAAAATGCATGCATTTTACGCAGACTCACTTTCGTCTTCTCCTTCCTCTTCGTCGCCCTCGCCGGCTGGTGCGGCCGATACGCCCAGGAGTTCCAACACAGACTTTTGTTTTGTTCTTGGAAGGTAATTTATTTATTTATTTATTTTAATTAATTATTTATTTATTTAATTGCTTATTCGTTTAGTCAGTTGTTTTTGTTTTTAATTAATGGCTAATTAGCACTTTGCTGCTGTTTAAACGGTTAACTGGTTGTTTAATTAGCTAGTTACTTGCTTTTTGTTCTTGGAAGGTAATTTATTTATTCATTCATTTATTTATTTACTTATTTACTTATTTTAATTAATTAATTAATTAATTGTTTATTTATTCATTTATTTAATTGTAATTGTTGTTTAATTATTAGTTAATTGCGTTTTTATTGCTGTTTAGTTGGTTAAATAGGTATTTAATTAGCAAGTTAATTTCCTAAGTCATTAATTACTTTTTAGACTTTTGTTCCTTTCTTAAAAGAAATTATTTATTATTTATTTATTTATTTATTTGTCTGTTTACTTATTCAGTAGTTTGCTTTTAATCAAATAAATAAATAAATAAAATAAATAAATAAATAAATATATAAATAAAGAATAATAAATAAATAATAAATAATAAATAAATATTTGTTTCAAAATTTGTTTTTTCAGCAAACAACAACAATGCTGCAAAATCTGCACAAGAAAATAGAAAGCCAAAAAGAGGCGAAAAAATCTTCGACTGCAATTGAAGAACTTATTTTCCAAGTCAAAGAGGTAAACCCTAAACCCTAAACCCTAAACCCTAAACGCTAAACTCTAAGCTTTAAACCCCCAACTGAAAGGCCTCTTTTCTAAACCCTAAACCCTAGCGCTGGAGCCTCAGACCGAAGCCCTGAAACCCCCAACACTCTAAACCCTAAACCCTCTAAACCCTAAACCCTCTAAACCCTAAACCCTCTAAACCCCAAACCTCTACACCCTAAACCTCTAAACCCTAAACCGTCTAAAACCTAAACAATCTAACCCTAAACCTCTAAACCCTCTAAACCTTAAATCCTCTAAACCCTGTAAGCCCTAAACCCTAAACCCTAGTTGGGGGTTTATTTTTGCATCTCCAGCCCCCGGATCTTCCGCATCCGCTCCCACTGCCGCCAAACAAAGAACCAAATCCTATTTATTTAATTTACCATTTATTTATTTATTTATTTATTTATTTATTTATTTATTTATTTATTTATTTATTTATTTATTTCAGTGCAACAACATTGTGCGGATGGCGCGGCTGCGGGGCCCGCGGGCGGACGTGACGGACGACTTGTACCAAATAGAGCAATTGTTGGACAAGTAATTTTATTTTATTTTATTTTTTATTTTATTTTTTATTTTTTGGACTTTTTTGAAGAGTTTTGCTTCTTTTTTCAACCCCAATTCAACCCCACTGCTCTCCTCTTCTCCACTTTTCTTTATATCTCTTTTTTTCGTTTTTTCCTTTTTTTCCGTTTTTGGCACTTTTGCACTTTCCAGTCTTCGAAAAAGTATTTAATTCTTTTATTATTTATTTACTTTCTCAATTTTATCATTTATTTGTTTACTCATTTTTTTATCGTTAGTATTTATTCATTATTTAATATACTTATTTATTTAATTTATTTATTTATTTATTTATTTTTGTTTATTTATTTATTTTTTATTATTTTCAGGATTTTGGAGATGCTGACGACTTCGGGCAATTTGTACTCCGTGAGATTCACAGATGCGGCGAAACAAGATGTGAGAAATTAAATTAATTTAATTAATTAAATTTAATTAATTAGTTAATTAATTTAATTCGAGTTAATCAATTTAATTTAATTCAATTAAATCTATTTAAATAATTTAATTTAATCAACTCAATTTAAATCGGTTAGTTTAATTGAATTAATCAAATCAGCTTAGTTCAATTAAATATATAGATAAATAGAATGATGAATAAATGAATATTGAGTAAAGGAACAAATGTGAAACAATAGATTAAACCAATAAAATGATTAATTAATTAATTAATTAATTAATTGATTATTTCAAACACAAAACTCCAATTTGGTGTTTAATTGTTTGAATTAAACTTGTTTAATGCAGGAAGTGCAGCGGCAGTTTATTGAACTTTACAATTCTCCGGAAAAACTCCAAAAAGATTCGGCAGAAAAGAAATACAGAAGCAGCAGCAAATCGGTGCTGCGGCAGTACACAGCAAGACACCCAGAAGCAGCAGCAGCAGCAGCAGCAGCAGCAGCAGCAGCAGCAAAACGCACCGAGACTTCCGCCTTCGGCAGCGCCCGCTCTGTTTCCGGGCCTGTTGTTGGCAAGTCTATTCTATTTATTTATTTTTAATTAATTAATTAATTTATTTATTTATTTATTTGTTTTATTTGTTTTGCTTATTTATTTGTTTGCTTAAAAGTCTCAGTTGCTGCAGCATTGCTGCATCAAACAAACCCCAACGAATGAGTTAATCAAATTAACTCAAACTAAATAAATAAATAAACAACCAACCAAACAAACAAGTAAATAAATAAATAAATAATAGCATCTTGATTCATTTTATTTGTTTTGTTTACTTATTTGTTGTTCAAAAGTCTCAGTCGCTGCAGCATTGCTGCACCTCGTCGCAAATGCATCAAGCAAACCCCAGCGAACGACGTGATCAAATTAAACAAAATAACAAATAAATAACAAAAAACAAACAAAAAACAAAAATATATTCATTTATTTATTTATTTGTCTATTTATGTGCTGATTCAGGATTGGAGCTGAACCCGCAGACGCTGCCGACCGCGGCCTTGGAGCCTCTGAGCAGCAGCAGCAGCAGCAGCAGCAGCAGCAGCAGCCTGCAGCTGCTGCTGCCGGCGCCGCAGCAAACTGCAAAGCTGGCGGCCTTTCTGGGAGTGGACTGGGCCTTCGATGTGCTCAAAGCTGCGGAAGAGTCCGAAGAAATACTTTTGGAAGTTGGGTTTTGTTTGTTGGCGCCGCTGTGTGTGGGGTGGGGGTGTACAGACACCGCGCTGGCGGCCTTTTTGAACGCCATTCAAATTCAGTATTTGAAAAACCCTTATCACAACAAAACGCATGCAGCAACTGTGGCGCACTTGGCCCACTGCCTCGTCAACATGCTCGACCTCCAGCCCTCGTGAGGCGCCTTTTCTCTGCATGCAACTTGCATGCGGCCTGCATGCAGCTTGCATGCAGCTTGCATGCAGCTTGCATGCAGCTTGCATGCGTTTTGCTTTTTGTTGCGCGTTTTCGCACTTTTCGGGCGCTTTTAGGCAGTTTTCAGGCGTCCTTGGTGTATTTCTAATGCACTTTTAAGGCATGTCTACTGCAGTATTTAGTGCGCTTTTATTGCATATTTATTGGAGTGTTTAATGCGCTTTTATTGCATATTTGTTGCAACATTTAATGCGCTTTTATTGCATACTTATTGGAGTATTTAATGCGCTTTTAAGGCATATTTATTGTAACATTTAGTGCGCTTTTATTGCATACTTATTGCAGTATTTAATGCACTTTTAAGGCATGTTTATTGTAATATTTAATGCACTTTTAAAACGTTTTTATTGTAATATTTAATGCACTTTTAAGGCACTTTTAATGCATATTTATTGCATATTTATTGGATTATTTACTGCATATTTATTGCATATTTATTGCATATTTATTACAATATTTACTGTGATATTTATTGCACATTTGTTGCATATTTGTTGCATTTTGAATGCCAATTAAATTTAAATTAAATATAAATTAAATGCAAATTAAGTATGAAGTAAATGCCAATTAAATGTAGGTCAAATGCCGATTAAATTTAAATTAAATATAAGTTAAATATAAATTAAATGTAAATTAAGTATAAATTAAATGCAAACTTGTTGGATATTGAAAGGCGAAGGAAATAAATAAATACATTTAAAGAAAAACAAAAAAGAAAACTTTTTTGTTTTAAAATGAACTTTTTAAAAAGACCAAATCTAATTGTTGCAGCTTTTGCTGAATCTGAAATTAAAGGAAATGAACAAATTAAATGAATTACATGAATATTAAAAATAGAATAAATAATAATAATAATTATAATAAATAATTATAATATATAATAATATATAGGAATAAAGAACAAATTAAAATGAAATAAAAATTGTTAAAGAGTTAAAAAGAATTTAAAAAAGACTAAAAAAGAATTAAAATATATTTTCAATGTAATTTAAACATAATTTAAATGTAATTTAAATATAATTTAAATATAATTTAAATATAATTTAAGTATTCTTTTTTGTTCAGAACGAATTTAATTGATAAGTAAGGCCACAGCTAATATGTAAAATAAGAGTAACAAAATAAATAAAATAAATATTCAAAAAGTTAAAAGGAATAATAAATAAAAACAAACATTAATTAACAATAATAAACACTATTTAAAACAAAATAAACCATTTAATTGCAATTAAAATAGTATTTAAATGCAATTAAAAAGAAATTAAAATGTTTTTTTTCAGAATGAATTCAGTGAATAAATATGAATAAAATGAATATTCAAAAAGTAAAAAGATCAAGAATGAGTAATAAATAACAATGAACAATAATGAGCACTAATTAAAACAAAACAAACCATTTAACTGCAACTAAAATGGCATTTAAATTTAATTTAAATTCAATTTAAATTCAATTAAAGTGTTTTTTTTTTCAGAATGAATTCCATTGATAGAGCCACTTTAACTGTTGCAGCTCTTTGCCACGACGTGGGACATCCCGGAAGAAACAACCAGTTCTTCGTCAACTCCTACGACCCCCTCGTCAGCTAGGGTTTAGGGTTTAGGGTTTAGGGTTTAGGGTTTGGGGTTTAGGGTTCAGGGTTTGGGGTTTAGGGTTTAGGGTTTGGGGTTTAGGGTTTGGGGTTTAGGGTTTAGGGTTTGGGGTTTAGGGTTTAGGGTTTGGGGTTTAGGGTTTGGGGTTTAGGGTTTAGGGTTTGGGGTTTAGGGTTTAGGGTTTGGGGTTTAGGGTTTGGGGTTTAGGGTTTGGGGTTTAGGGTTTAGGGTTTATCAGGGTTTGAGATTTAGATATCATTAGGGTTTATTAGGGCTTGGGGTTATTAGGCTTTAGGATTTATTAGGGTTTAGGGTTTAGGGTTTAGGGTTTGTGTTTCAATCGCCCCTTCTCCGTGCCCAGAAAGACCCTTTTTTTCTTTTTTGAATTATTTGAATTAATTTAAATCACTTTTAATTAATTTTAACGGATTTAAACGAAACAAAACAAAATAAAATGAAATAAAGTGAAATAAAATGAAATAAATTAAATAAATAAATAAATTGGATTAATTGTTTGCTGCAGGCTGTGATTTACAACGACCAGGCGGTTTTGGAAAACTTTCATTCTTGTTTGACTTTTCGAACTTTGGAAAATAAAGAATGCAACATCTTCGCCAACTTGGAAGACGCAGTCCGCAGCTTTTATGATTTATTCATTTATTATTTGTTTAATTATTTAATTTATTTATTTGTTTGTTTATTCGTTTATTTAATTTATTTATTTATTTATTTATTTATTTATTTATTTTTTATTTATTTATTTACGCATTTATTTATCTGCTTATTTGTTTGTTTATTTATTATTATTTCTTTATTTAATCGTTCAATTTATTTATTTGTTTGTTTATTTGTTTTGTTTGTTTTTTATTTATTTTGGTGGGTTTGGATGCATCTGTTTTTTGCGCATTTGTTTGCCTTTTTATTCTGCTGGCGTTTGGTGTGCAAACAAATGAACAAACAAATCATTTTAATTAATTAATTAATCAAATAAATAAATAAATTAATTAATTAATTAACTAATTAGTCAAAATGATTTAAAGGATAAATGGAAAGAGGGCTGAGAAGGGAGGGAAATGGAGGGAAAGAAAAAGTGCAATTTGGGGTGTACGTACAGCTGCGGGGTGTCTGGACAGCTTGCATGCGGGGATTTCTTTTTTATTTTTGAATTTGAATTTAATTTCTTTTCTTTTGAATTTAATTGTTCAATTTAAACAATTAATTTGTTTCCTTTTATTTTTTATTTTACTTTTCAGGATTTCCGATTTGTTCGACAAAATATAATTGCCTGCATTCTTGCCACGGACATGAAACAGCACTTCGAGAGCATTTCGCGTTTTAGAGTAATTCAATCTAATTAATTTTTAATTCTTTTTAATTAATTAATTATAAACAAATCATTTAATCGCCAATTAAATAAATTGAAAGCAATCAATTTAATTGCCAATTGAATTAACTAATTAGCAATTTAATCCCTAATTTACCATTCAACTGACTTAAAATCAATCAAGTAATTAATTTGAATTAATTAATTCCTTTCTTCTAACATTTGAATTAATTTATTAATTGTTTTTTAAATTGATTTTTGGATTAAACTGGCAAATTAATTGGATGACTTTTTATGTTTTTTTCTATTTTTATTTTGTCATTCTTTTTCCAATGAGCGACTTTGCGAGCTTTAAAATCCATTATGACAATTACTTTGTTTATTCATCAAATTAATTAACTAATTGACTAATTAATGAATTAATTTTTTATTTAATTAATTTATTAATTAAATAACTAATTAATTAATTAATTTAAAATGCATTTATTTGTCTTTTTGTTTTATTTTTCAGGTCCGGCGAAACTCTCCGGAGTTTAGCTACACGCGAAATGCAGAAGACAAATGGTAATTTCAAATTCAATTATTTTATTATTTTTTTTGTTTATTTATTTTATTTATTTGTTCAATTATTTCAGTTATTCATTTCATACATTTTATTCATTTGTTCTGTTTATTTCAGTTATTTATTTTATTTAGCACATTTATTCCATTTGTTTTATTTCATTATTTAATTTAATTCGTTTATTTTATTTGATTTATTTATCTTATTTAACCTATTTGTTTTGCTTATTTTATTTCTTTTATTTTATTTATTTTGTTATTCGATTTGTTTTATCTGCTCCTGATTTACTGAATTATTTCTCTTTAGTTTTATTTATTTTTACATATTTTGTTTCTTTTATTTATATTTATTGGGTCTTGTTTAAAATGTTTTTTATTTTTTATTTAGCAAATCAAACTTGAATTCAATTCAAATTCAAATTCGATTTTAATTCCACTTTAATTTTAATGCGAATTTTATTTAAATTGAATTTAAACTTAAATTTCATTTAAATTCAATTTTAATTTAAATTCAAATCTAATTAAAATTAAATTTGAATTCAAATTAAATTTAGTTTGAATTCAACTCTAGTGTAAATTCAAATAAAACAAAGATGCAAGTTTAATTTAAGTTAAAATTGAATGAAAATTGAATTTAATTTAAATTCAAATAAAACCAAAATTGAATTGAATTTAAATTCAAATTAAATTAAACTTGAATTGAATTTAAATTCAAATTTAATTTTCAAATTTATTTTTTTGTTTAGGTTAGTTGCGAAGATGTGCATCAAAGTTGCCGACGTGGGACATGTAAGTTTATTTTAAAAATAAAACTAAAATTAAAATTATTTTAAACAGATAAATATACTTTTAAGAGGATTAAAATGATTTTAAAATGATTTTAAAGTGATTAAAATGAATTTAAAATTTTAAAATGGCTTTAAAATGCTTAAAATGATTATAAAAGGATTAAAATGATTTTGAAAAGGTTAAATGATTTTAAAATATCAAGAAAGATGAAAACAATGACAAAAGGATAATAACAAAAGACAAAAAGAATTTTTAAAAATTGAAATAAAAATTACGAAAAAGAAAAAACGAAAAAGGAATGAGAAAGTGTTTTATGGGAATCAAGAAACTTCTTTGTCTTTTCTTTTGATTTTTCAAAAACCACAGAAGTCCATTTTTGTATTTTGGATCTTTTGAAAACCAAAAAGTTTATTTTTTATTTTGAACTTTAAAAAACTAAAATGTTTATTTTTGCTTTCTTTTTGGTCCTTTAAGAACCAAAAAGTTTATTTTGTTTTATTTCTTCTGCTCTTTCGAAAAATGGAAATTTTTATTTTTTAAATTCTGTTTCCAATTTCTTTAATCTTTTTTAATTTGTTTTCAACCTCTTCCCAATTTCTGTTTTTAATTTTAATTTCTTTTTAATTTCCTTTTAATTATTTAATTTCTTTTTAATCTCTTTAATTATTTGATTTCTTTTAATTATTTAATTTCCTTTTAACTATTTAATTTCTTTTTAATTATTTAGTTTCTCTTTAAGTATTTAATTGCAGGCGAGCGTGCCGTGGCCTCAGCACTTCCAGTGGTCTTGCAGAGTTGTGGAGGAGTTTTACCAGCAAGGAACCGAAGAGCTGGAGCGGGTGGGTGGAAAGTGGTGAATAATTGGGTTTTTTTGGATTTTTTTTGCAAAAAAAGGGCAATTAGGATTAAATTGTTGAAATAAATGGAAAATAAGAGAAATAAAGCGCGAAATCCCGAAAAAACCAAGTGTTCAGGCCCAAACGCACGCGCGCATGCTCTCATGCGCGCATGCATGCACCCGAGGTGTACGTACACCACAGCCGCATGCATGCACCCCGCACAGCTCAGGTGTACGTACACCCCAACTGCGCAGGGCCTTCCAGTGTCGCCTCTTTGCGATCCCGAAAAACATTCGGACATGGCCAAAAGTCAAAATGGATTTCTCGAATTTGTTGTCAAACCTCTTCTCAAGGAAATCGAAGAAATCGAACCTTTCGCTTTCGTCAGGCCAGTCACACGCAGCAGCAGCAGCAGCAGCAGCAGCAGCAGCAGCAGCAGCAGAGCAGCAGCAGCAGCAGAGCAGCAGGGACTTATTGTGTGTTGCTCAGCTCCTGTTTGTCCTTTTTTGTTCAAATTGATTTATTTTAATTAATTAATTGATTAATGAGTTTATTTATTTATTTATTTATTCATTATTTTAATTTTCTTTTTCAGGGATACAGTGTTGAAGAACCTGGAGTACAACAGCTCCCGGTGGCAGCAGCTGCAGCAGCAAAAAGTCACAATTGAACTAAGCAGCAGCAGCAGCAGCAACGCAAAGAAGACAAGCACTTCAACAACATCAGCAGTTCGAAAGATAGCAGGTTTAAAAATGGCCCCTCAAAGCCATTCAGGGGCCCCCAGGGGGCCCCCGGGGGCCCCCCCGGGGG